TTGAACCCGTAAACACTTTAAGTTCCTTGAGTATAAGCTCATTTACACTCAATTAAGGTCATCGAATCTGCTAATAAACAACTATTGCTTTTTGCATTTTCCTGGCAGCACTGAGATGGAACCACAAGATTTAGAGATGCCAGATCTTACCGAATACAACCCTGAGGTAATTTGACTGACAGAGAAATGTTGGTAGCGAAAATTTCTAAATCTTAGCCTGTTCCAGGCGTTTAGAAACTGAAACGAAGTGCGTCAGAAAACGGTACGATAGTAGCGAAGGAGTGAAAAAGCGAGAGAGTTTTGGGTCAGGTCACGTATTGAACACTGCCCGATCCAAGCCTCCCACATTTTCTCTCTGCCGCTGATACAGGGCCGTTTAGCATTTCATCTCAAGCAAAAAGGTGTTTCTTGGCCATAACAACTTGTACCTGATAACTTAAAACGTCTTCAAAGCTCAGATTCTACCAGAAGTTTAAGAAAGGAAGCAAAACTTTCCACAAAAATCTACTTTGACTACGCTTTTTACTTTTTGAGAATCAGGACAATTCAAAACCGGACTCCACCATAGTAAAGTAAGTATGCGGAGAAGGTACTTCTTAATACCAACATGACCGCTTAGATTCCAAAAATTATTGTTCAGAGTTAAGTTTAAGGTAGAGGAAAAGACCAACTAAGAGATTGACTTACATGACCCGGCAGGGAATAGAGCCAGGACCTCTTGATCAGAAGCTCACTCTCAAACCATTAAGCCACCACATTAGAAATCTTTTTGGTCACGTGTTCTCACAGCAGGTCGTGGATGAACGAGTCGTTTCCTCCACCAATCATGGTCAGCCAGGCATCTTACCTACATCCAACGCACAAGGAGAGCTGATATCCTTTCACACCACAAGATCAAGGCAGCCAAGTGCAATCCCAGCAGTACCCGCAGCAGTGCTACACGTATCGCCGTAAAACGATTTCTGTTGTTCTCTTTGCTGAGGAAAAAACTGATGAAATCATAAAATAGGAGACAAAAGCAGACCCTGATCGAAAGAGAAAATTGGCATAAACTTTAACGAGGGCGACCTAGGAAAAGTTAGGTATCATTTTTTTCAAAGAGCGTTTTAAGGAAGACCAATGCATGAGCGTAATTCTAGCTCTCTGTTAGTTTTTATCATTCCCAAGAGTTAATGCAAGTTGTTATTGCTGAAATACTGCGCTTAACAAAACTGCTACGGCAATATTCAACAGACCAAAAGGCACCTGACAATGACAAGAAATTTTAACCCTTAAACTGTTCATTCTCCCCCCAGTTGCTTTGCACTTCCTTGCAAAATAGAGAATTTGGAAATAGACCAAGACAAAAGTCTCTACTGATAATTTTCGTTACATTTTTGCTGGATAGTGTCTGTTTATCATGGATAGAATTTTCATGTTAATCACTTCTGGGAGGTTACAGGGTTAAAACAGTCAAAATGTAAGGTACAAGTGTAAAGAAAGTTGTTATATTTACAGTTTAGTACAAGCTTAAAGCGATCATATTATAAGCAAGCGATTTCGTACATAAAAAATTGTAATGGGAATTCGAAACTTAAAAAATGTAACAGAAATAAAAAGAGCAATTATGTAAGACAGAGAGTCAAGGCGAATTTGAAAGACGTCTAGTTTGTAGCCTTAACGTCGATTGAATATTATTGTGTGGATCATTTATTTACAAACTATCTAATAAAATGAGGTGTTTTCCGTTTAATCTTAATTTGTCTAACCTTACTTTCTTTCAATGTAGCCGGCTTGTTTCCTGTGCGGGGAGTAACGTATCTTAAAATACCTACCAAGCGAAAATAAGTAAATAGTTTTCTTTTCTTGAGAGTGAAATATGTTGTAAATCGTGGACAATAATTTCATTAAGTTATCTGTTGTCTACACAGTTTGAGCTTGTATTGTCATTTTTCCCAAGGCTCATATATATTTGAAAGTATTTGATCTCGTAACCAAGTCCTACTTGTCTAGTCGGTCGTCAAAGTACTGGGAAAGACGAGACTACATAGTTGCATAACTAACGCACCATACAGATAAAGATAAAATGATGAAGTACGACAGACAGATGAGAATTCTTCGCTGCACAACTCAAGCATAAAAACTGAAGCCTATTCAAGACGATCACTACGTGAGACTATGTGATCCTAGGAAATATTTTATGTGTAATTTGATGTCGCTTTTTGGTCGACTCAGAATATCGTTTTCCGCGATCAAGCGCCCGGGTTGCTTATTTAAAATTTCAGCTAAAAGGAGGGGCACTTATTGGAACGAAGGTGCTTGATCGAAGGGTGTGCTTATTAAGTTTTCCTTTCAACGAACTGAAACTTTAATAGTTTACTTGGCCAAATCTTATAAAGAAAAACAACTTCAACATTTAGTCCACCTTAAGTCAGTATGGAGGTAGGAATAGGTATTGTTATCGGCCGAAATTGACTCATTTTCGAATAGAAAAGTACGTGCATTTTAAAACATTGTATAATTGCTGGCCGCCCTATGCAAAGCAAAACCATAAATCACCAAAACTTACGTGGTCTGAGAGTTTAAACATTGACGGGGAATCATTTATGTTTATATTTAAAACTCAACGTTGCAAGCGCTCACATATTTTAAGCTGAAGTTGAGTTCTGGCGCCATTAGACACGATGAAGACATCTACCCATTCCAGAAAATATGAAGAAAAATAAACTCAGTTTTAATCGAAGCTTTCCTCGGCGTTGTCGTCCTGTCTGCATTTAAGGTCTCTAATCTCAGACTCGGCGGAGTATTCCTCTTATAATCGTAGCTAAGTCTCTGTTTGCTGCCTCAAAGACCATTGTTATCTGACAAACCCAACCATTCTCCTTGAAGTGCTGGTTGCCGGTAGTTATTGTCGCAGTCGATACTCAATATGATTCTATCCCCATCTTTCACGGCCACGAAGTAGTTCACTATTAAATGATGCTTTGCCTTTTAGGTCCCAGGGCCCGTCAAAATGAGGGGCTGTATTGACATCGATGTATGGGGGCACAGAAATATGTCCCCTGGGCATGTCCATGAAAGACATAAAAAAGGGGAGGGGAAAAGAAGAAAAAAGGAAAGACCCCCCTCAAAAAAAGTTTCCAGCCACAAATAATCGATCCTTAACCCTTTAATCCCTCATATCAGCATGCATATTCTCCATACTGTTCTCTCTACATTTCCTAGGCTTCTGACAAGGAGAATTTGTTCAGCAATCAAGGGTTTCTTTAGTTGGTGGTCATGTCCTTTATTATCATGACCTTAATGTTTGATTTCGGGTGATGTTGTAAGGGGAAATTAGATATTAGTCACTCTTGGGGTAAAGGGTTAAACCTCTCGCTTGAAAGAAGAAGCACAATCTATTGCGTCAAGTATGTAGAGCGTCTATGAAATTGATTACGTGCATCGAGTGAGCAGCAGACAAAGAGGATAAAGCGTGGTAAAGTCGAAGTCAGCTCAGTGGCCCCAACATCCCACCCTTCAGTACAACATTTTCCGAGTTGACTGGCTCACAGCCACTCTAATCTGCTACCAAATGCGGTTTGAACGAGGAGCGTTACGATTAAGAGATATTCTAAAATAGGAATGAACGATTGTAACCGGCATGAAAGCGTTCATCGATCCTAGAAGAAAATTAAAATTGCCATAGCTAAATGGTATAAGATAAATTGCCTGTGATCGCTCGCCAAGTCTGTCAGTGTCAGATTAAAATGATGAAAACCTGGGAAATTGGCGGAATCAATGGCACCGAATTGAGACAAAAATAATTCTCTCATAACTTTGTTTAACCTGTCAAGAAGACCGAAATGGACTTAAAAAAGAGCAAGCCTCGTTTTGCCTGATCTCCATGGTACCCAAAATTTCCCTCAGCTACGCATAGCAATTGAGCGCTTTTCGTTCGCGAATTTTCTTTTCATCTGAATGAAAATTAAAGTTATCTGAATCGCTTAGTAGTCAAATGATCCTTCTTAACGAATTTAACTAGAAAAATGGAACAGTATCACATTGATAAAGTGCTCGCCTTTTTCGAGAATGAAAATTTAAGATCATTTATTAAAACATAGGTTTTTTCGAGAGGTAAATAAAATAATCAGCATATATTTACTTTTTATATTTTTTTTCCGAGATAGTTATTCGAAATCCATAGACAATGTTGATAAGACATTAGATAGATAGTTTTCAAGCTGTGTTTACCTTTGTACCATGATAGCAATTTTCTCATGGACCGTGATGAACGCGTTCACGCAGGTGACATTCAGTCATTCATATTTGGTATCTCTCAGTCTTGACGATGTTAACACATTTTGAGGCAAAAAATAATACATATCATTTCGTTGAAATCAAATTTCCTGGATTGTCGTTCTCGAGTGAGAGCTATACTTGTCCTCTTTTTTGAGAAAGGGAATAGACTAGAATGACTCATTGCATATTTATTGACAAGAGAAGAGACAATACGTCTGTCAAAATTTACATGAAACAACCGCACCCTCATGGTATTTTCCCTCATCAAAATAAGCATTTAAGGTTCTCCTAATCTGCTGAAATAGAGTTTATATCCAAATCCGTCGACGATATGGATATATAAAGAAGAGACTTCCCCGTCATGATGGTGATCACCAATAGAAACCATGGTTACACCATTTCTTACACAGAATGAAGTTAATTTTTCACGGGGAACCGATCAAACGAAAATATATTCCTTAATTAACGTTTATTAAAATCATAATGCTATCACACCTAAGTCGCCAGCTCATCCACTTTTTCTGGCTCTAAATTAATTGTTGAAAGCTGGAAAACTGGATCAATAGTACCAAATTGTGACAAAAAATAATTGTTATCGAATATTTTTGATCCCAAAAAAGTGAGCTTCTCGCGCAATGGGATGGAAGCGAAAATATTTTTTATGTTGGTCGTCTCTGATACTGTGTTGGTATCTTTTTTATTTCAGTTTCGTTGGTTTGAACTTGAACTGGCGAAAAAATGTCAAACGCAACGACTCTGAAATGGAAACGCAAATACTCAGGTTTTCGAACTCAGCAAAGTTTAACGTTTCTAATTCAAATGCGTTGCTCTCTCGGAGAGATTCAATGGCTGTCATTCATTCGGATCTGTCTTATTCCAGTGCGGTGAATAACAATACTCTCTATCTGTTGATTTTGCCCTTTTCAACCAAAGAGCTGGAAATTGATCGTGTACTGGAGGACAAAGACAAACATTCCGCGAGGAAGTTGAGTGATTTTCTTCGTTCAAGGAAACAATTTCATGGTGCAACTTGTATGCAACAACAAGAAAGCCATGAAATGAAAGCCTCTGGAAATTTCACGTTGGATCAATCTTGGTGTCGTTTTGTGAAAAAAATGTGGAGCGTTCACATTAGGAATACAGGCCCTGTAAAAAACCTCACGCTACAAAAGTCTCTCAGGCTTGACTCCGACAGTGAAACTGGGACAACTTACGCGCTTGTACAAACCTGCAATATAGTGCAAAGTCCATTTGTAATAAGGAAGGATGTGTTTCAGAAAATTGGAGGATTAATCGAAGGTTTTGGGAAATTATCCTTATTGGAGTTTTTTCTACGATCAAAGGGCGAATTGAAGATTGCAAAGCTTGGTTCTTGCACGTGGACACCCAAAATCAAGCGTACGGATCGAGGAAATTTGAAAGGCTCAAAGGAGGTCCCTGAATATGCAAATTTTGCCAATAAACATACGGTACTTCGGATCGTAACGGAGAATAGAATAGAATGGACGGCTTGTGTCGCAAACTGGAAGATGTGCCCGGAGAAACCCTATGTAGAGCCACGAGGTCTACCCGGCGTAGCTACACCAATATGTTGCAGCACTGTTTTATGGAAAATGCTAAGCGATTTTGTAAAAGGGCTAAACAAACTGGGGCTAGAATACCGAATTGTTGATGGCACCTTGTTAGGGGCTATCAGGAGTAAAGCGATCATACCGTGGACATACGACATAGATATTGCATTACCGACCTCTGTGTATAAAAATGCTTCAACGTATACTGCTCTTGAAAAGGTTCTCGAAAACCAGTACTATATAGGTTGGTCTTTCATGAACATGCCCAGGGGGCATATTCTTGTGCCCCCGTACATCGACGTAAATACAGCCCCTTATTTTGACGGGCCTGAGGACTTAGAAGGCAAAACATTATTTAGTAGTGAACTGGAAGAAGCAGTGAAGGGAATGTTGCCAGTGTCTCAGGATTGGAGAGAACGTGGCTATGTAGATTTTTATGAGGCAGGTCAAGCCTTGATGAATGGATCGTCCATTGTCACCATCAACAATAAACAATTCGTGACCGTGAAAGATGTGAATAAAATGTTGAGTACAAATTACGGCAAGAACTATCGGCAACCAGCATTAAAAGGAGAATGGTTCGGTTTGTCAGACAACATCGATTCCTGAAGGAAATAACTTAGATATAGTCTAGATTCTAGGAATAATGCGGCGACGAGTTTGCGTCGGATTAGGGACCTTAAAAGGAGAAGGGACGACAAATCTGAGAAAAAATCGATTAAAAACGAATGTATCACAACAGGGTAGTTGTGTCAGAATCGGTCATTATGGTTCGCGATCTCAGAACGCGCAAGTTTTGGTGATTTCGGGAGTTGCTTAATGCTGAGGGCGGCTAAAATATGTATATTGTTTGAAAAATCACCTGCTAATCTGCACGGCTCTTTATTTAGCAGACATAACTAATTGATTGATCATCGACCATCTTGATTTCCATTTCTTACCATTGGTAATTATTTGCTTTTAAGTGATGTTCCGTGCATTGTTTCAATATACAAGAGAGTATACACTTTAGAATATCGTGAGTCACTGATAGGTAGTTTGTTCATGACATCGAATAATGGGCCATACATGTCTCTTCAAAATTCTCTGACCTTATCAAGAAATGGTCTATTGTTCCGGCTCAACTTCTCGCATTAAGTCTTAAACAATAACCCTTTTGTTATTTGTATTGCTGAGGGACTTTGGCCGGAGCGAAGCGAAAGAGTCCGTGACTAATCGGAAAAAAATTGTCGGAGTATTTTTATCCTCTCTCTGCGTAATTTTTTTTATCGCACAGTTTGTTAAAATGCTCATGATGAACAAATCGGACTTCAGCTGCGCGGTCGTCCCATTTTGTTATCACCCCTATGATTACAGATCAAATTGGACTCCACTAAGTATAGGAAATCGTGTTGAAGTCCTAAATGTAATAACTGTCCTAAATGTAATAACATTTGGTCCTAAATGTAATAAAGTCCTAAATGTAATAACGTTCGGTCCTAAATGTAATAAAGTCCTAAATGTAATAACGTTCGGTCCTAAATGTAATAAAGTCCTAAATGTAATAACGTTCGGTCCTAAATGTAATAAAGTCCTAAATGTAATAACGTTCGGTCCTAAATGTAATAAGCCTCCTATGCAATCGTTTAACTGCGCTAACATTGAAATGTTAAAGTGACAGCTGTTGCGCTAAAGAATCCTCTGTCCAATATTTATGGAATATTGCAGGCTCACTGATATTAATCAGCGTCTTTTTATTTGTTAAAGAGGTAGGTTGAGAAGCATTGGCTACAAAACCTTATACTGATACTGATGTGCTTTTGGCATCAAATTGACGGACGCAAAAGCAACGAGAACGTTGACTAATAGCCCTCTCTATATCATTGGCTCAGACTCTTCAGTGTAACAGATTTTGACGAAATACTTCTGTCTTCAGTGCTGAAGTTAACACTTGATGAACCGAATTACAAGGAAAAAGAAGTCCACCGACTTATACGTTAGACATATTCTGGGCTCAGAGGGGCATTCTTTGTACGGTCTTCCCTTACCAGATTTTTACGGGTCTGCATAAAATATATTCATAGGCGTTATTGACCGAGCGTGAGGTCAAAATGGCTTTATATTGGCTGAGTTTTTTTTTTTTTTTGCGTTTTTATGGACGGAGAAGAGGTCACGGTCCATAAAAAAGTAGAAAAAGAACGAGGCTAATATCCAGTAATCTTGAAAATACCAGCATGGTCAAGAGAGTTTATATTCTCTTGGCTTAATCATTAAAGGATTCATTGTATAGCAAAAGATTTCGCTTTGATAAGAATCAAGAATGGCCTGTTTATTTCGAGAGCCGATAGTGAAAGCCAACTGTGTTTGCAGTACAATAAACCCAAGAGGGTCGTTTATTTTTTTCTATGTATATGCAAATATTATCCAAAAGTTATGAACTTTGTAAGTTTTCTTGCGTGGGATCAATACGGGGTATCCCGAGCGGGCGAGGGTGGGCCCATCATGCCCGCTCAGGTAGCCAATCAGAACACAGGATTCACTTCATCTTGCCCACGTGCGCTGCTAGCTATTTGATAAAGTGACTAGTGAGCAAGATATCGACTGACCAATCATATGCTATCCCATTTCACGATCACAGATCTTGACATGTTACCTTTTTTCCACGCAAGAGTCAAATTGAACCATTGAGCTACACCAATCAACACATGATGGTCAGTTGACGGTCTAATGAACCATTCATTTTTTTCCTTTAGCCCCTTATGACGGGTTCATCAGTTCCGCGAACCGAAATATTAGGAAAACGTATATTTTACAGTTGATCTCAAGTTTATATTTCATTTTTTGTCTTCATCTCTTCTCCCCGCCGTGAGGGGAGAAAATGAATAGCTAAATAGATGAATGAAAAAAGAAAGCTCAACAGTTTCCACTTATAGTCATATGGTACATGAACTGATTACTGAGGTGGAGTAAGGCCATAGAAGGCTGGAAATGCAATACCCCAAGTTCAAAATTGAATAAATCAGGATAGTCATTCTTAAAAATGAACTCAAATGCTTCATCAGAATCAATCGACACTGAATAACATTGATGTGCAAAATTTCAATAACGCTACTAATAATAATAATTTTCTTTTGGATTAACATATGACACAGCGAAATCATTCAAACTGCTCTAAAATGGTGCATCACTACTAAAGACTTTAACACGAAAGATAACATCAACAATAGCATGCTAGTTCATCATCAATTGTAGTCAATTTCTTTTCCAAAAAGTCTTAATGGTTACGTACCAATCGATTCCATCCTATTAAGCTTCCAGCCAAGCACTAGCCCACTTTGGGCTGGAAATGATTTTCTTCAACTCGATCGATAAACCGCTTTAAGGACCATACTTCGACTGCTGATATTTCTTATGTCTAGCAAGTAAAAAGACGCTGATTGATATCAGTGAGCCCATAATGTGGCATGTATACTGGTCAGCGGTTTTTTTGGTGCAACAGCTGTCACTAACATATCATTGTGGATGTCCGCCATAACAACAATGCACTGCAGGAGTCAAACGATTTCATTGGAGCCTTATTACATTTAGGACTAAATGTTATTACATTTAGGACTTTATTACATTTAGGACCAAATGTTATTACATTTAGGACTTTATTACATTTAGGACAGTTATTACATTTAGGACTTCAACAAATCGTATGAACGCGAGTGCATTTCGTGATTTATGGGCACGAGTGATGTTTTGAAAGTTCTCAAAATTGCACGAGCCGTAGGCGAGTGCAATTTGAGAAATTTCAAAACATCACGAGTGACCATAAATCACGAAATGCACGAGCAGGTTCATACGATTTTTTATTTATTATATTCTCGATTTTTTTTATAATTTGGTGTTCAAATTTGGCGCTTCCCCGGTGTTTCCATGGCAACTTCTCCGTATTACACTCTATAACCTCTATTGCACTCTATAACCTATTTATGCATTCATCATTGACCAATCAGAAACGCGATATTTTGTTGAGTATATAATAAGTCCTATTACCATTAGTTATCATGCACACAACTAATTAAGTCTGACTTGCGTAGTGCGCGCGAGATTTGAACTGCTTCTGGCAGAAGTGTTTTCAAATTGTCAACTTAACTACAATTGTTGTTTGTTAACACAATTGGAATTAATACAGTTGCAGTGATTATTCACATAAAATATAATTAACTTATCAACAACATGAGGAACACCATTCTAAATTCCCCAAATAGCTTATTCTCCTCCTAAGAACCAAAATTCTTATCAAAATAATCATTTCATTGCCATTCTTTCAAGGAAGGAGAATCGAGGTTCTTGAAACAAGAATGAATAGAAGAGAATTCTTCTGGTAAGAATGCATTACGTCTGAATATCTTGAGAAGAATCTCTCTATTTCAGAAACTCTTGTCTCAAGAACGAGAATTCTTTTCAGCAGGCAGTGAAGTAGAGAGTTCTTCTGGAAAGAATGTTTAATTGCAAACCTCATGGATAGAATTGCAATTTCAGAAACTCTTGCTACAAGAATCGGGAATTCTTTCCCGCAGGCAATGAAGCAGAGAGTTCTTTTGGAAAGAATATCTAATCGCAAATCTTACGAACAAAATCGCAATTTCCGAAACTCTTGTCACAAGAATCCGGAATTCTTTTCCTCAAGAACAAGGACTCTTTCTGGCAAGCAAAGAAGTAGAAGTTTCTTCTGAAAAGAATATTTAATTGGAGATCTTATGAAAAGAGTCGCAATTTCAGAATTCATTAGAAAAGAGGCAGAACCTCTTATGACCAAAATTTTATTAAGTTAACTTCTACTGCTGGTAACTTTGAAATTATCTGATGAAGTCTGATAAAACTTTGCTGCAATACAGCAGTGGAGTAGGTACGTAAACGATTCGCTGGGAAAACAAAATATGATGTCGTAGCCACGATAATTTACATTAAATTTTCATGTGAACATTCACAACACCAAAATTAATAACGTTGGAAGCGAAAGACTTATCTGGAGGTCTGAGCAGTCCCAAAATAGTCCTTAAATTTCTGTCATTGGAATGTGTCGTGCTAGCCAGCAAGGGAAACGATGTTATGCCCTTGGTAACCGCCCTATATCCAATATTCGGTCGCGCGGGCTAAATAAACGTCTTCATCACATAAACTGCGGTGTTACACAGAGATATCTGGCCCTGAGAAAAGCCGTTCAACACATGTGAAAAAATGTCGTATTTTTTGCACGTGTGCAAAGCCTTTACGATTCTCAATACAAATTGTTTGTCGGAGCTTCTTCGAATTATGGCGGCTAAAATACTAAAAAATACATATTGCTGACAGAAAGTGAAGAAAACCAATATACTAAAAGAAAAACCGAAAGTTACGTATTTAGTGGCTTTGGTGTTGGCATTTCTGTCGGCTGAGAACGAAAATCGACAACTGGAAGATTTGTCAATAGCCTATTTTGGCCTAAAATACTTCTTCTTTCGGTAAGGACAAAGTCAATAAATGAGAGTTTTGTAAATTGAGAATTACAACCATTATTGTTTTTAATCATGATTCAACGCATTTTTCCATCTTAAGAGTTCGCGCCAACGTACTCTACGATTTTTATTCGGGGATTGTCGATTTATTTATTTTCATTCATTAATGAAGTCGGCTTTTCTTCTCAGTAAAGAGCTATTGTGTTTATGCGGGTATCAGCGGCCATCCCGAGGGGTCGTCCTCGGGCACCCAGGGGCATTTGTCACAGCTGCCGTGACAAATACATGCTAAAGGCCCTCGGGTAGGGCAAAAAAT